ATTAAGAAGTCGCTCATATTTTTTATAATACACATAATAATTATATATCAATAAAATAAACATAGATAATATCAATATAATAATGAATATCATTTCTTAACCGTCTTGATGTTTCTTGATTTGTGTTAAAATCATATATCGTTTTATACTAATTGTGATATTAAATATTGCAATAGAATTTTGTTTTATACAAATTTTATAAAAATTACCGGATAGATTCTATGTGGTGCAACGATCAATGAAAACACATACCTCACATGATTAAAATAGAATTGTAAATCTCGTTAAACAGATGCATAAGCCAATTTAACAAAATTGCATAAACTGATAATAAAAGTTTGAAGCTTGTATTTATACTGTTCTTCTACTCAGGAGCGTATTAATAACACAGGCCTGCGAGAGAAATTTGAGCTTTTGTCAGTTACAAAAAGTAGTAGATGAATCTGATAGATTTTGTGACACTGTAAATGAATCTGGCCGCAAAATTTCCCCTCCAGTACGTCAGGTTTTTTTAGCCAATTTAGCCTTCTTGACGAAATTTTCTTTAATGAAACGCTTTTAACAGAAGAAATATGATTTTTAATGCAAAATAAAGTTTTATTATAGAAGAAAAAAATGGTTTAAAAAAAAAATGGTTTCAAAAAAGTGGTTTCACATTTTTTCATTATAGAAAAAAATGGTTCAGGACTTTATCGCTATATAAATAGTATACGCCAATTAAGTGACACTCTCTATATACAGTTAAAAATCATGGTAATACAATTCCCTTCGTCGAGAAAAATAAAAACGCACAGTTTGATAAAAATATATCTTTTTTTTTGTCCAACGTAACGTTTATGCGATGTAAAGCGTCGAGTAATTGTGCGCTTTTTTTTCATTTTAAATGTCAGACGTTCATTAATTCCCTACGGGAAAGATTGTTTCTTAAATGACGTGTTCTAGCGATACAAAATCGGAAAAAGCGTCTTTGACTCGACTAGACGCGCGGCAGGACATTAATCAAGCCTCCCTTCGGTATTTATGTTCTTCTTCCGTTGGTCGAGAAACAGCGGGGGGAGTTGCTCGACGCGAGTGCCAAAGCGAAGGACTTGCTCAAGTGAGACGGTGTATTTGAAATGGCGAAACTACCCTCCGAGCGATCGGCGACAATGACGGAAGCCATTTTGATGTCGTGAAATTCTCACGAGTATTTCTCTTAAGGATGTATTGGAGATATATTACAATTAATGAGATCGCCGTGAATTTTTAATTTAACATTCTTAATAACATTCTAAATCGTCATGAATTATTTCAAATTTTTTTACTTGCTCCTTTAAAAGTTATTCATTTTTGAATTTTGCGATTTTAACATGGGATCTTATGTAAACGTGCAAGAGACAGGTAATAAATTATTCGAACTATAAAAAAAAACAATGATAAAGATTTCATTTTGTAATATTATATTCTTCATATATGTAAAAATGTTCCCACAAAGTTTTAAAACGATTTATTTGCTCGTTTTGAAATTATTATTAAAAAAGAACTATGATTATCGATTTGACGCAATATTGATGATAAAACGTGGCAACCTTTTCTTGGAAATTAAGACTTATTTATATTAAAGAATACTTTGAAGTATGATTTCGTGATTTTTAAAAAATTTTTCATCAATTAGAATTCGTATTCTGCCCAACTTTAATTTTTTGATACTTTGGATTAACTTTTGAGATAGACGGTCCGTCCAATACATCTTTAAGGATGTATTGGAGATATATTACAATCAATGAGATCGCCGTGAATTTTTAATTTAACATTCTTAATAACATTCTAAATCGTCATGAATTATTTCAAATTTTTTTACTTGCTCCTTTAAAAGTTATTAATTTTTGAATTTTGCGATTTTAACATAGAATCTTATGTAAACATTTAAAAAAAAGATAATAAATTATTCATAAACTATAAAAAGACAGTGATAAAAATTTCATTTTGTAATATTATATTCTTCATACATGTAAAAATGTTCCCACAAAGTTTTAAAACGATTTATTTGCTCGTTTTGAAATTATTATTAAAAAAGAACTATGATTATCGGTTTGACGCAATATTGATGATAAAACGTGGCAACATTTTCTTGGAAATTAAGACTTATTTATATTAAAGAATACTTTGAAGTATGATTTCGTGATTTTTAAAAAATTTTTCATCAATTAGAATTCGTATTCTGCCCAACTTTAATTTTTTGATACTTTCGATTATCTTTTGAGATAGACGGTCCGTCCAATACATCCTTAAATTGTTACGACGAGCTTAAGGAACGTTCCTTCCGATCCATTCGACTTTATTCGTTCAAATATTGATGCTGACAATGATATTAGCGTGGAACAACACGAAGCTAAGAGCGTCGAAGGGGGGCGCGTTGAGTGTCCAAGAGCGTAATTTTTAATTATGTCAAATTATTGTATGAAACGCGCGTGAGAGCGACGTGGCACGCATGAATTTATAAAGCGCTGTATATCTTTCATTAACCTCTCGTCGAGAATCTTCTCGCGCGCGAAAATTGAGAAAATTGTTCCTCTTATCCTGGCATATTAATCAAGCTGCCGTTCGCTTCGCTTTCCTCTTAGGGCGAGAATCTCGTTTGAAGATTTAACGGAGGCTCGACGGATTAATTTCCACTTAATATGAGGAAGGAAAAATGAAATATCCACGGAAATATATATATCGTGGACTCTCATTGCGTAAGGGAATGTTTAAAGGACGAATTTCCAAGTCAATTGCTATCCGAGTAACAGGATGTTCCAGAAATTTAAATATACGCTTTTCTTCTTTTTCTCCATCTTTTTTTGTCCTTTTATTGGAGACTACGAGAGAGAAGGATGCGATCGATTTTATGTTAATCTTGACGTAAATTTTGTTCGCAAAAGCAATCATTCTTGGAGCGACACGATTGACGGTAATAGATTAGCAAATAATTGTAACGACTTTAATTAACTCTCTCTAATGTGACTCAATGCTACCATATTACTTGTCTATTCCTTTTAAAAATAAACATTTTTATTAATATTTCCGGAATCGTTTTCGAAACATCTTATTTTTGATGTCGTCCTTTTATCGATAATAAAATTGTTATAAAAATTATCATTCATTTCCTTTTTATTAACACTATGCAATACGTAGTGTTAAATAATTTAGAGGGGGAACTTTTAAAAATTTTATCAAATCTTTGTCAGATAGATACTTTGCTTATAAGATAATTTGTTTTATATCAACTTAAAATTTCTTTGTATTTGATTAAAAAGCGTTTAAAAGTAACAATATTATTAAATATTAAATTTAATTATAACAGATTTACCAAACTTTATATACAAATTATTATTTATACGAAGAAACTTATTAATTATTAAATTTATTAAGAAAATTATTATTTATATCAAGAAACAGCGAATGCATATGTCGTATGTAAAAATGAAATATTTCGAAAATGATGTATTTCTCGAATTGTGTTAGAGAAGAAAAAAGTTTATTTTTTTCGCAAGGAATATAATAATATCTACGTAGATAGTTAGTCTTACGGGACACTCTGTATACAGGCTGTTTCATAAGTGGTGGGCAAAATTTCAGGAATGGATTCCTCATGCTTAGAGAAGAAAAAAAATTAATTAATATAGGTCCAGAAATGATTAGTTTTTGAGTTATTAAGATTTTTGTAATACAAAATTTTGTCTCATTTCTCGTCTTAAAAGGCCTTTTATAGACATCAACAATGTTTTTCAGGCCGCCGAACTTGAAAAACATTGTTGATGCCTGCACTGAGAAAAAAATCTGATTGTATTAATTAAAATTGTGATAGATTCAAACAGTATGTCTGTTGGAAAATGGACGAACCAGAATTCTTGTAGGAATTACCAGGTGAATCTGATTAATTTCTTCCTGTTAAATTTCTCAAATTTTCTGGTTAATAATATTAAACTCCCCAGCACCAAGTCGTCTAAAATTGTTTCCATCTAATCTCAAAAATCTGTTTAATATTCTGAATTTCAACAAGATTATTGGAAAAATTCAATCCAAATTATTGAATAAATTATTTTAAGTTCAGTTTGTTAGAAATTAAACTGATAAACAGTGATGCAAGAAGAGGATGCAGTTCAAACACACACAATCAGAGAGTCCTCTTTCTACACTACTGCTTGTAAGAGAAAAAAAATATATTTTGGATTTAACATTAATACTAGTTCTTTATATACATTTCATGGCAAATATTGAATACGAGTTAAGTTAAGAAGCAAAGAAATTAATGTAATTAGAAATTTTATAGATCCAATGAGAAAATACTAACCAAATTCTTATAGTAAAATCTATTAAACGTTCTAATTATAAAAAATCGAGTTTTATCATAATACTAGAAATTCTTGTTCGATTTAATTAAATTGATTGATAATTGATTTGACCTGAATTCTTATTTGATTTAATTAAATTGATTGATAATTGAATTGATTCTATTAAACATTCTAATTATAAAAAATCGAATCTTATCATGAACTAGAAATTCTTGTTTGATTTAACCAAAATACCTTCAATCATATACGTCTTGTTGGTACAATCAAACGATTTTTCTCAGTGTGTAAAAAAACTTCTAAGACGAGAAATGAGACAAAATTTTGTATTACAAAAATCTTAATAACTGAAAAACTAATTTCCGGACCCATGTTGATTAACGTTTTTTTCTTCTCCAAGCATGAGGAATCCATTCCTGAAATTTTGCCCACCACTTATGAAACACCCTGTATATTCTCGAGTAATTCCTCGCGCATTCATTTTATGCTACCTGACTGCTTAATCTCCTATTAATTGCAAGAGGTCTCTTGCACATCGTCGCGCGCGACTAGGTTTCGTAACATAACGTAATATAGCCCATTAAGCCCCCATGACATTTAAAGGCGACTTATAAAGGAATCAACGATAGTTATCGTTTTCTCTTATCGGTCCTAACGCCGGTCTCCCGTGCGCCGTGTATGTTCCAGGTCTCCGTAAGGTATACCCGTATTACTTCACTTTCACGACATTCACAAAAGGTCGATGGGTCGGCGAGAAGATCCTGGAGGTGTTCGCGAGGGAATTCCGCGCCCACCCAGCCGAGGAATACGAGAGGTGCATACGCGCCGGCACTCTGACGGTCAACTATCAAAAGGTGGACGTCGATTACAGATTACGACACAACGACCTCCTGGCCAACGTCGTCCATAGGTATGTGATGCAGAAAAAATGTTCGGCCGCCGTTCCGGAAGCTAGGGTTGCACGAGATACCAAGATTAGTCTTGATATTGTCTTGTCTTGTCTTGAATTTCAAGACAAGATCAAGACAAGATTTTTAATTAGTTATCAAGACAATACCAAGACTAAGACTGTCAAGATTATTAGTCTTGTCAAGATTACTAGTTCTCAAAGAAACTAAAATATTTATATTTGTAAATGAAAAAAAAATCACTATATACGAATTTAACAAAATTTTGTTCAATAAAAACATTTATATTAATAAATTTAAAAATATTTTATATTAATACAATATAACATTTTTATAAATTAGAAATTATACTCGCAAATTTTAGACATTAAAGAGCATTTCACCCAGGAATTGATGCACATAAGTGCTTTTAAAGATTTATTTTGTAATCTGGTTCTATTTTTTAACATAGTCAGAGTTCCTATTGAGAAAAGTCTTTCTACTAGCACGGACGAAGCAGTTGAACTTAAAATGTCTCGAGTCATTTTTGACAATATGGGATAAATATGAACCTGATTTTTTTATCACTCCAAAATATTTATATCTGCACATTCCCTTGGAGCTTGTAAATAGTTATTAATTTCTGTTTTTCATGAAACAGTAAATATTTTTTTATGTAAATAGACGGCATTTATATCGATTACATAGTAATAATTATAATTAAAATATAATACAATAGTAATAATTATTTCAAATTATATTACAAAAATTATGTTAAATATTATTTAAATAATTTTTCAATATTAGATAAAAAATGGTTAATAAAATCGAGACAAGACAATACAAGACGAGATTTTTGCTACCAATATTCACTCAAGACCAAGACAAGATTTAATTTTTTCAAAATTTTCAATACCAATACAATATTTTTACGAATATTGTCTTGTCTTGGGTCTTGTGCAACCTTACCGGAAGCAGCCGCCTTTGATCGCGATTGACTTCCGTCACCGCGAAGAGGGCTTATCCGGAATTCTCGCGGAGTTGCGAGATCGCGAATATCGTGAGAAAAGCGGCGTTTCCACTTTGCGACGAAAGTTCGATTGAATCGCGGTGGGAGGGGATCAAATTGGCGTCGAGATGCGGAATAAAACGAAGGCAAAGTCGCGCTCGCGCGAGAGCGTTAGACGAGTTTCGCATCTCTATTATGATACCTTGCTACTTATTTAACCGCGGAAACGCAATCTTGCGCGACGCGTAAAAAACGGATACTATATTTCCGGCAGGTTTTTCTCCCTTCGCTATTCTTCTCTTTCATTTTTTATTATTTTTTCTTTTTTAATTTTTTTCCCCAAACAATGTTCGGTAAATTGGTGGTGCATTTTTAAAATGGCATTTCATAACACTAAAGTGCTACGTTTATTATTTAATAAAAGGCAACGTTTTTTTTTATTTATTAACACGGCGTTCGACGCGTACAGTCGGATTCTCTTGATGCTTAATCCACTTTTTTTTTCCTCAGCGGAAGCTTGTTTATCGAGGTCGGAATTTCGACCGATGTCGAGAGAGCCCGATGTACATATTTAACGAAGCCTATTGGTCCCTTCTCCTTCCCCTCCCGAATAAATCCAGGTTAGCTTCGACCGGAATTTACTTTGATTTCAGAAGAGCTCCGGGAATTTGGCGTGCCTTGCCCGAGCGCGCGCAAATGAGATTGGGTCTAATTTGGGGAATTTCCGAGTTATATCGGCTTAAGAGCTTGTTTCGCCCGCGCACAAAATGCTATGTATCATTGCTATCGACATGTTACTCCACTGCCAAGCAGGATTATCTCCGTGTTTTGTACACGTATGGGTTTCTAATTACCTTCTCTTTTGCGTGGGAGATGTCGGGCATTAGGACTCGCTGAGGTATGGTATTATCGAGATATCGCCAGTTTAGGCATTCATATTTGCGTTATACAGGGTGTATCTGAAATGATGCACTAAACTTTAGGAGCATATTCTAGAGGTCAGACTTTTTTCTCCTATGAACATGCATTGAGAAAAATCGTTTGATTGTACCAACAAGACGTATATGATTGAAGGCATTTTAGTTAAATCAAACAAGAATTTCTAGTTATCACGATAAGACTCGATTTTTTATAACTAGAACGTTTATTTCTTTGCTGCTTTAAGGAAATTTGAGAATGTAAGGATCTTTCAACTGTATGTGTGGCTTTGTTTGAAAAAAATTTTAATATAAATTCAATATAAATTGCAATATATTTTAATATAATTTATCAATACTTTTTTTCAATATAATTTATCAATATATTTTAATATAATAATATATTGCAATTGTACACTGAGAAAAATCGTTGGATTGTATCAACAAGACGTATATGATTGAAGGCATTTTAGTTAAATCAAACAAGAATTTCTAGTTATCACGATAAGACTCGATTTTTTAAAACTAGAACGTTTAATAGATTTTACTATAAGGATTTAGTTAGTATTTTCTGGTTGGATCTAAAATTTCTTGTTACATTAATTTCTTTGCTTGCTTCTTAACTTAACTCGTATTCAATATTTGTCATGAAATGTATATAAAGAACTAGTATTACCATTAAATCCAAAGTATATTTTTTTTTCTCTTACGAGCAGTAGTGCCAGAAAAAGGACGCTAGCTCTCTTGTGTGTGTTTGAGCTGCATCCTCTTCTTGCATCACTGTTTATCAGTTTAATTTCTAATAAACTGAATTTAAAATAATTTATTCAATAATCTGGATTGAATTTATCCAATAATCTTGTCGAAATTCAGAATATTAAACAGATTTTTGAGATTAGATGGAAAAAATTTGGAACGACTTGGTGTTGGCGAGTTTAGTATTATTAATCAGAAAATTTGGTAAATTTAATAGGAAGAAATTAATTAGATTCATCCGGTAATTCCTACAAGAATTCTGGTTCGTCCATTTTCCAACAGACATACTACTTGTAATTAATGCAATCAGAGTTTTTTCTTAGTGTGGATTCGCAAATGAATCCCCCTCCGAGCTCTAAAGTTTGGGGAAAAAATTGAAAATTGGCTGTATTTCAGGAAAAAATGGTTTTGACGTTACCTATTACCCTCTCTTGAGAGATAAATAAATTTTGCGTTGTGGATGTTTGGTCAATATATTTGCGTTGTGGATGTTTAGTTTTCACACATTTTCGAATTTTAGCTCGGAGGCGGGTTCATTTGTGACCCCATATATTCATAGGAAAAAAAAGTCTTATTTTGATCTCTAGAATACGCTCCTAAAGTTTAGTGCATCATTTCAAATACACCATGTATATGCGATATCTAATGCGGATCAAATTTAGTTGATTTACGCGGGAAACGTATGCGCGGAAAGCGGCTCAACTAAAGCGGGCAGCGTCGGATTAGCGCCGGATTATGGCGGGGTGCTCGAAGCAGAAGTCCAAAATGCATAATCCGCATATAAACGGTTTAATTCGCGCATGCTAGAGCGCACCTGTTATCCGTAATATGGAAAGGTGGACGGAACCGGAGATGGAGTATCCGTCTCTTCGTCGCGGATGTCGTCTGGAGTATCCGGAAAATATCCGGCGCCCCGATACCTTTCCGAATAAAACAATTTTGACGGTACAATTTTTCCTCGTGGTACACGCTCGAGTATTCGCTCGCTGTACAAGGGAAATGCTACAAGGGTAACGCTCGTGTGTGTATGCAGTGTGATGCATATGATCGAAAAAGTGCGGTGGATTGGTCCGATAAGCTCGTAAATCATTCGCCTCTCTTTACAAGAGCGTTAGATAAGGGGATCCTCGTACACGCGGAGGAACCACATGGCCGGGACTCGTGCGATTATCCTTGGCACGGATATATAAGAATCTATATGCCGCTCCCGTCTCTCTCGGCATTTTTAAACGCACCAACGCTCAACGAGGCTCGCTATCGGTGGAGTACATCATAAGAATTTGCCGACGAGGATGTATGCTGGATATACATAGCTGCCGCTTCGTCATTGGAGATAAGCGCGAATGGAACATTCTTGGAATTTCGCGAATACTCTTTGCAGAGACGAATCGTATTTCGAATCGAAAAGGGGAAAGGAGAAGAAAATAAAAAGAAGAGAGAGGAAAATACGTGCTTTTTCCCTGCTCGACGTACGCGGGAAGCTGGCTTAAATTATTTCGCGTCTCGTTAATACTCCTCGTCCGCTCGCTTGCACGTTAATTCCCTAGCAATTATCCCGGTAATTGTATTTTTCAGATGTGTGCGCGACACACACGGAACGCCGTGTTGTCCTACATTTCGTCTGTCGCCATTGTAATGGTAAATTTCCGCGGCCGGTTCATTATTCGCGAATATGACTATCTTACGATGATTTTTCATGGCATGTAAGATGTGACGACTCGTGGAACCTGCACTGAAAAAAAAAAGATCGCATTAATTAGAATTCTGGTAGATCAGTATGTCTGTTGGAAAATGGACGAACCAGAATTCTTGTAGAAATTACCAGGTGAATCTGATTAATTTCTTCCTGTTAAATTTACCAAATTTTCTGGTTAATAATTAATATATGATTAATTAATATATGATTAGTTTAATAATATTTATCACACGCTTTAATATTTTAAAATTTATTGAATTTAATTTATAGGAATTCTTAATAGTATGTGTAATAATATATTTAATTTTAAAATATAAAGTATTTTAAATTTATCAATGAAAATTGAGGACATAAATTTTGCGATTATTTTTAATCTCTAAATGCTAGTCTCTTACAAAATTTTTTTTCATATCGTGATAAATTTTATTTTTCTAACAAATTTAAATTTAAAAAATTTGAATTTATCAATTTTGAATTTTTAATTCGCGCACTGAGAAAAAAATCTGGTTGTATCAATTAGAATTCTGGTAGATTCAACCAGTATGTCTGTTGGAAAATGGACGAACCAGAATTTTTGTAAGAATTACCAAATGAATCTGATTAATTTCGTCCTGTTAAATTTACCAAATTTTCTGGTTAATAATA